CATGCTGTAAGACAATATTGACATCAAGTGATAAATTTACAAATTCTCCTTACAAATGCAATGAAATCAAAGGAGAATTTAACATTCCATGATGCAATACCTTGCATCTTCTATAAGTTCTACAGCCTCTCTCATTCTCTTCATTTCTTTGAGAGCTGATGCAGCCTGCTCCAGTGCTCTAAATTTGACAAAATTAGTCATCAATAAGATATTCTTTGCTTGTTCAAAATGCTTTTTATAATACTTACTTAGCTGAATGAAATAATCTGTTTATTGTGATATTATGTCAAGGTCAAAGCATTGAAATTCAAAGCAGTAATGAAGCAATTAGAATACAATAATTACTATAACTGCAATAAGAACACACCAGTCAATTTACAAGACACATTAAATACAATCGTYAATAAAATGCCAACCAACAAGAATAACAGCATCATCAACAACAATGAATCAGTCAGGATACGAATGTGTGTGTTGATATGCATCTGCAGCCCTTCTAAAAGCATCATCAGCTTCTGGATAGGAACGACCAGCCTTGAAACTATTACCTAGATTAGAAAACTTATGGTTCAATAATGCAGTATYGCAGTATWTCAAGTTTTTATTGAGAAATCTCCCATCCACCATTTGCGGCAATTGCAAAGTACTTTTATCATATGTACAATCATATGATATAATGTCATGTTGTACATACCTGCCTTCATGTATTTGTCTGCAGCACTGTCATAGTCTGGTTTCCATTTTATCCAACTTGTTTTCAAACTRCAGGAGTTAAAATATCACAATTTAAAACTATGATGCTACTGTAGGACCGTAAGTGCTCTAGATGACATGTGTGGAAAGACTGATGAAAAATGTAGTCAGCGGTTTTGGCAGTCATGGTGTCAGCAAGGACAGACAAGTATTCTACGCTTTTATCAATTGCCTAGTAGCTTGTCCTAATATRATGATATCCATGATCTGAACTCTGCTGCATGTCGATAGTCCAGGAAGGTGACATGTCGACTGTAAATTATATGATCAACTTTTAGATTTCAACCCCCATGTTAATATACTTATGTTAATGTGTATTTGAAACAGCTGATCATACCATAAGCTTACATGCATCGTTTCGTTTCGAAACACCATTTTTAATCTGACATACCAAATAATCAATAAATCAAAAACGGATACTCATTAAAATTGATAGATTGTTCAACGACTTTATAAACAAATAAGCTTAAAGTGCTGATGACGTTGATGTCAACTTTCAACAAAAACATTGAAAACATCACAAACTAATTAGGATATCAAACCAGTTCTGAATTACTCCGACGGATAAAGTAATAGTTGAATAATTTAGCAACATTTATCAAACTTACTATTTTTCTGCCTCTTTCATAAGCTCCAAGCCTTCCTTCACTTTTCTTTGCTGTAAAGCCGCCATCTTGAATTTTACTCATGACGTAGCCCGCTGGTCAATATTATTGCAGTATCTCATTAACTTGAGGAGGCTACCTCTAGGGGGAGGGGACGGGGAGGGAAGGGTACAAATATTTTCAATTTATTTTAGATTTTTTTTTTTAAATGTATGAAAAGGAACTTTTCAGGGCAGAAATTACCGGTATAATATTTTTAATAAATAATTACCTAATAAAAGACTGGGAAATCCATTTTGTAGAGATCACATCCATGACTTACCRTAAATGAGGAATCGAACCCACTATCTTTGGATTCAARTATAACGCGTTAACAGTACGCGCCACTGGACCACGCTCATTTACATAATAATAGACCACTTGACACTTTCACCGAATAGACTACCCCAATTTGACTTTATACTTTCGATAGTTGCCTAGTTAGTGCAAGGGGTTATCCATCAGTGTCTAGGGGCCGGATAGCTTCTCCCTCACTGGCTTTTTAGTTAGCGCGAAGTTAGGACCAATTATCGGGATAGCATGGAAGAGCCGAAATCTCTAACCGTAATGTCAAGTCGATTCGACGCCTCAGCTTCACAGAATGYCTCGGGGGAATCGTCCCAATCTTTTTCAACGCTAGTTGCTGTGGTTCGAATCCCAGTACGGTCGTCTTTTCTTTTTTTCTTTTTTTTTTTAGATTTCTCTTTCTTGTCTTATTGTTTRAAACCATTTTTTGTGAGACTTCAGTCATTTAGCATTTTTTATTAGAATTATGAAAAATAGTAAAATAAAAACCAACCTCATCCCAGGCCCTTATTCTTCGCTTTTGAATTAGAAAAATAAGCAAATTACAAAAAAGTAAGTAAAGCGCATGACACTAAAAGAACACTGCAACCTACAGAAAAACACAGTTACACAACAACACATAGGGCTAGCAGTTTAGGGTGGGCGTGGCACTGCCAGACGCAAGAMAAAAAAGTTTGAAATTTTGAAGAGACGAATGATTTTCAGTAAACATCCAAAACAGGGATCAGGGAATAAAGATCAGTAAAATTTTAGTGCAAAAAAATGAGATCACAAAACTATTAATTGCTATCTGACCCTGACAAAACAATAAAACACTGCTAGTTTTTGATTTTATTTTTACCAGTTTTAAAGCCATCTTTCAATGAAAGTCTTAAGGAGAACGTGGACTAAGTTCTGACGATATTTTCGATGTTTACATTGTTGGCTATTTATATTTACTGTTCACAAACAATATCATGATCTCAGGGTAAACAGAACGCTTTTACCTTGCCAAGTGGTGCTGAAGCCTTATATTGTTATCTATGAAAACTTTAAKTCATTTTCTTTCTTACTTTGCATTTAGACAACAGTGGAAAAATTCTACTACTTGTACTTCAAGCAAGTGACTATAATAGATTGGATTTGCTGCAATAAAAATATAACTGTCACGCAACATCATATTTGACCAATCAGAGGCCAGAAAACAGAGATATGTTAATATATGAGCTCGTTATAAATTCTTCGATCGCTGAGGAACCTGTCAATTCTGCAWGGTTGTTTTGAGGTGTTGTCCAATATTTTYCCCGKTGCCATTYCACTAAAATGTCTGAYGCAGAGCTGGAAACCGTGTTTAAGTCGTTTTGTGCTTTCGGTGCAGGATCTAAAGATGCACAGGCTTCAATGGATAACGCGAAGTTTGGGAAATTATTCCGTGATCTGAAGCTGTACGACAAGAAATTCACTTCTACCGACACAGACATCATTTTCAACAGACCTGAAGTGAAATCGTAAGTTATCACCTAACATATTKTACTAGTTAACKGCCTGCTTTGACCCTTTCTAGAGTTAATCGAAAGGTGTTCACTATTGTTCTACTCGTAGGAAAACTGAAAGAAAAATCACTTTTAAACAGTTTAAAGTAGCGCTGGAGCTATGTGCAGAGAAGAAGTATGGCAAGAAAGAAGATGTTTCCAAACTTATCGAGAAAATCTGTGCTGGTAAAGGACCAGGAACTTCAGGTGCAACGGTAAGCTCGCTAGGCATCGCCTGCTGGAAAACTAGTGACAATTTATTCATCCTCGCTGTTATGATTTGAATTTAGACAAAGAACAAAGTCCCMCTTTCTTACTCAACACATGACAGTATAGCTTCGTTTTGTTTCACGTTACACGAATATAAAAAACATCGTTTTGAAATATTTTTTAATTCATCTACACACCGTCACACCCACAAACTAAATAATTACCATTGTTAAACATGCAAAATGCGGTCAATGAATGTAAGCCATTTTCTGGTGCGGTTTGTTGAGGTTGGTGTGCCCGGTTGCCATGGCAAAGCACTTGATGTAGCGTGTCACACTTGAAAGTCTATTCAAAAACAACARAAAAGCAAATCCCAACGGGTGGGAGGAAAACACATTGCATTATATATTGGAAGTGTCAAATATTTCSTATATTTATTCCTTGGTTTCATTTTCCATTTTTCTTTTCATTTTCCTTTTCCAGGGAATTTTTTTTTGTATTTTAGCCCATCTTTCTCAGAGTCGAGTTGTTAACTAAACATAGAAGACAGCTGAAACTGATAGTACAAATCATTGGATAAGATATCTCTATCWAGTGGTCCAATAATTTCTTTCAATTACAGAAAACAGCCAAAACTGGTGCAGTTGACAGGTTGACAGATACCAGCAAGTACACTGGTTCTCATAAAGAACGCTTTGATGAATCAGGCAAAGGTTAGTTATATGTAATTATATAATGACAATGTAGAGTACATTCATTGCAAGGAGCATTGTATCAAGCTTTACTAGGTGTTGACATGAAAGCCATTATCAAATTGACCTAATTTGAAAGCTATGTTAGTAGCAATGTATTCAACATGATTATTGATTTGAAAAGACTAGTTATAACAATCCTATTTCACACAGGGAAAGGAATTGAAGGTCGAGTGGATCGTGATGATAAAGCAGCAGAAGGATATGTTGGTGGTTACAAAGGAAAGGATACCTACGATAAATCACATTGATAACCAAACAGTACTTTGGATACTATCTTTCAAGATACATACATTAGATCCACATACACACAATACCAAATCACACTGTTGTACCCTCATACCTTTTCCTACTATGTAAACATTTTGTTAATGCAAGTATTTCTTTACATCTTTTAAAATAATAATATGCATGTATTTAAAAAGATCATTTAAGAAGTTTTATTCTTAGTTTTAATTAATTTTGTGATTGACATATCATAAATTGTAATAAGTAAATTTAAACCTTTTATAATGCAGAGAATAAAAGCTATTGTGGCTAGTTTGTTTGGCTGTTTGTTTTTTTATTTTGTTTTTTCAGGGTTTGTTTATATACTGTAAACACTGCAGGTCTTTAATAATACTGTTGGCAAGTCAAGATTTACTMATATCACTCCACCCATTATACACAATGAATGGAATACTCAATTTTACAAGAATACTCAATTTACAGAGTGCCAAGTTGTAGTAGCCCTTGAATCYATGCAAGACTAAATACCTTCTTTAGGACAATTTATCTCCAGTACATGTCATTGAAAGCTCAATAATTGGCATGGTGTAAAAAGAGTTTTTGTTATTCATACGTCATGTCATACTGATTTAAAATTGTAAAGAAAAAAAACAAAGTACAGTACTTGTGCCAAAAAAAATTGATTCATATGAAGTTTTTTAAATTTTACAAAAAAAATCTTCCGGTGTTTTTTGACACTTGTARTACTGCAAACTTTAATTGTTATTAATACTAAAATGCTTGTAATCTAATCCAGTAATGTAAACAAAATGATGCAAATGTTTCACTCAATATATGATATAACTGCTATTGTTTAAAAATCATGCCAATATGTACGATTACAATTTTGCTGGCTTTGGTCTACTACATTGGAATAAAGCCAAACACAAACAACCTGTCAGTCAGGGAGCTTCTGCTTTTTTGGGGGGAGGAGAGGCTAATGATAAAAATATTTACATCTTGGTTCAGCGAAACACACCTCAAAAATAAAACACACACAATGGTGACACATCAGATGCAAGCTTAAAACTAGTCTTAAAACAACATTCCTGAGTTGTTTTGCCTTTGCACTTAATTGTGCAAACGATACCATGCAAACCAGCCATGAATCCTCCTTGTCACTAACAACAAATACATTCTTGTAAAAAAAAATAAATAATACATTTGTCGAGCTAAATATGATCACTACATGCTGATTATCTACTGCCATTTGGAAGCCAGTCCATGCTGTGTTTAAGCTTGTCATAACTCCACTGCATCTGTTGTACCTCAGTTGAGTGACGCTGGCGAGTTTCATCAAGCTCACGAAGCAAATGATCATTAGTAGCTACAAGAGATCTGTGGAAACAAAAATTAATGTAAGCTTATTTATTTGTGGATGTCATGAGTTATTCATTGCGTGTTTGGTTATGATGAATTGAGGGTGAATGAATAAGGCAGATCTTTCAGACCTGTTAGTGTCAGTGGCAGTATTTTGAAACAAAGTCAACTACTGACCTGTGACTTTCCTGCAGCATGTCTGTAAGTTCTTGTAACTGTTGTAAGTTTTTATTTTGTTGTGTCATCTGGGTGTTAAATGACTGCACTTTCTCTTCTAAGCTACTGTTTCTCTTTAATAATTCCCCTGTGACAAGAAATCGTTCTACTTTTAGAATAACAAATTATAAAAAATTACTGACGTGTTATATGCAAAAGCTGGGAGATCAACAATCTTTCTTCTTCAATAAGTCCTTCACTTTCACTTAATCTTATAACTCTACAACCATCACTGACACTGAGAAAAAAAATCTGTCCAACTAAAGCAAGCATGTAGTGAGACTGCTGATCATAACAACAATTGTTATTTCTAACAAAAACTCACCTAATTGTTTTTCCTGTTCTGTAGCGCTTAGATTTCTGGCCTCTAAACTTGATGCTTTAGCTTTTAATATCACATTTTGTTCTTCTACTTCTCTCAACTTACTTTTAACAGCATTCTAAATAAAACAATATAGTTACAATTATAGATTTTTATGATAATCAAGTGTAATTATTACATGTAACTTTTGTTCTAATACAAGCTTGATTACATCCATGTATTGACCATCTTAAAGTGACCAGTTTTGCAAATAATAAAAACAAAAACTTACCAGTTCTTTTGATGTGTCATGAAAATTTTCTTGCACCATTTCATGACTTTTTATTCTGCTGCGCAGTGACTCCAGTTCCCTATGTTGCTCAGCCATTTGGTCCCTAAGTCTTGACAGCTCTGCAGTGCGTTCTGACAACTCTGTTCTTAGCTTTTCAGTGATAACAGGTGTTGGCTGATTGATTGACCTGTCATCTGATGGAAGTAGTTTCCTGGCCAAGCCTGCACAAATACCATCACTGCATTAAGTTAACATGCAACATTGACAATTATGAACCATAAATTAAGTACAAATTTCTTCTTAAGGACAAATATTAATAGAAACCTTACTTTGAAATTTCATATTTCTATGAAGCGATTTAGAGCCATTCCAGTACCTGATGAAGACAAAAGACATTCAATGATCTGGAGTTGACACACAAATAAAAAATACATATAATTACAGATGAAAAATAAAATTTCATTTGCTCTTTCCAAAATGGCAATTTCTCCTTCAAAGTAATAATGATAAATGATGAATAGTTCACTACCCCTCCCCTGGCAAGTCCAATATTTTTTTATAATACCTGTCAACAAGGTCCAATAGTTTGAACAAGACATCAGAAGGATCATGGTCCTTTGCTGGATCATCCTGACAACAAAAACATATCAGATTGTACATACAGGCAGTTACAACTTACAGCAAAACAATATCTATTATCATGGTAACTGAAGCTAAATAACATTGACAGTTGCATGGCAACAATGGTCACAGCTTAATCTAGGCTGTACATTTAATGTCAGATCGAAACTTACCATTTGATCAAATGCATGATCTGTTCTATCATGCACTATTTTATCTGCCATGGGTCTTTGTGACTGTCCAATCTTATCTGCAATAGGTCCTTGTGATTGCCGTGGCGATGTCCACCTTTGACGAGACCCATCATATTCATTTACATCATAATCCTCATGTGCATTCTCATGAATACGTTTTTCAGGTGAGAAGAAATCAAATGTCCTTCCAGATTCATGTGACTGTCCGTRTGTCCTTCCAGCTTCATGTGAGTGTCCGTGTGTCATGTTKRGTGGTGCAGCTTTTTCTATTGGTCGTTGTGTTACCAGTATTTCACCATGGCCATTCACAAGTGGATTAGCCGTGAAATGGCCTCTGGTATTCAAACTTGAATATGCTTCTGATTCATCGGTATATTTCATGAGATCATCTTGTTGGCATCTAACATCATCTTCAAATTGCACATAAACTCTGTCTTTRATGCGTGGACTTTTTGTTTTTCTATCTAGCCCACCATTATGCCTGTGTTGTCTTGGAGTTCCATATGGTTCCATATTGTGTATTTCTGTAATAAAKATACAATGGTTATATTAATATATAATTTATAATAGATTTTCACTTTAAGACATTATTAACCATCTCTGTTAAAGTCCTCAAGATCRGGTTGCCTTGAMGATGAGCCWGTCACTCGTCTTGGTTGTCTTAGGTCGCCACTAGTCCTTGTTATCATATCCAGTATTGCAACATCATCATCTTCRAACACTTAAATAAAAAAATACTATTAAAATCATGGTAAACAATTTAACCCATATAATAATATAGTTTGGAGTTAATCATAGCATTGTATTTTTCCATGTTTTATTCAAGTCTTGATACTGGCTTTTCTCACCTGTATTTCTTGCTCCAAGGTTACGAACCATGTCTGATCTTGGAACAGAAACCCTGTGCCAACAAATACAAGGTAATATTATACAGATTTGTAATTTTACAATGCATGCAGTAATGTTTGGTTAAGCTGTAATTAAGCAAGTTGACAAGAAACATACCTGTCACTTTCTGTTTTGTTTGAGTAAACTTTATTGAAATCAGAAGCCTAGAAATATTGAAGACAGTCTAACATGAATAGTAGCATTGAAAAACTTAATAATAAACATACTAGATTTAAATGACAAACCTGATCAGAGGTGAAATGCATTAAAGCAGCCCTTCTTTCACTGTCTCTAACAGAYCTGTCATCTGAAAAATGACCAGGGAGTGAGCTTCATCAATTAATGATCTTTACATAATTCTTTTTATTATTATGACTTTGTCATTTGTTGGCTTGTTCGTCTACAGCAATACTTACCAAGCCTCTTGAGGTTGGGCAGCATGTGTACAATATGAAGACGGTAATCAGGCTCATTTTTAGTGACAGGATTCAACCGAAGATCAAGTTCCTACAAAAACAAAGTAAAAAAAATCATGTCATGAACATAATTTTGACATCATACTTAAGAAGTCATGGCTTTATCAACAGAAATTTAAGCATCACTGAATGGTGKCTGTTGTGTTATTCATTCAAAAGTAAGAATCACATACCTTAAGATTATTCAAATGCCTTAGAGCATTTAGATCTCTTATTGTTGAAACATTATTGTAATATCTAGAGTGAGTTAAGAATAACAGCCTTCATAATATATTGATCATGCAAAATAAATCCAGATACAAAAAGAAGTTAGGGAGACAATGAAATGAAGCAACAACAACAAACATAATGTTTCCTATATGTTTTTTTTAATGCCATTTCTAGGCAATTCACTGTAGTTGCATATGATTAGTATACTATCCCATCCCTAGCTAAGTGGCACATACACAGGTAACCCATAACCTACATTTAAAGCGCTAGCTGTTAATGCACAATCATATAATACTCATTCTACAGAAATGGATACAAATTAAGGTTTTCCAGTAGCTTTAGCCCTTCTAAACCCTAATGATGACAAAAAAAAAATTGGATAAATAGAACTAACTTGTGTTCAAATCAAATATGACATGGTGAAGGACAAAGTAAATGTCTTTGACATTTACATTTACAAATTACAGTATACCTCAAGAATAGTTATACTATTTCTTGACAAATCTAAGTTTTTGAGTCTTGTAAAACTTCTCAAAGAACTCCCAAGAGATGAAATCTTTTCTTGATAAGTGCCTGGTAAAGACAGTGATTTGACATCGTCTGCAAACAAAAATGGCAAAAGGGTCCAAACATCACTAACAAATTGAATATAATTTACAGTTATCAAAAACACTGCTCGAAAGATTTTGAAGAAATTCAATTCTGGAAAGTTCAAGCAAAAGTTATGAGTGAAAGAAATCGTTGTACATGTACAGGTCGTCGTTATCACAACCGTCGCTAAGTTTCTTTCACAATCACAGAATAACTTTGAATTGAAGTCAATGGAAACGTTGGTATAGATATCATGATAATCTTTATATCAACATTACATCACAATAAATTAGTTAAGCTTAATAACAACGCAAGCTTTCATGCATAGAGAAAGAGAAACAATGATTATAAGTTAAGTTGMATTAACTCAAGCGCCAAAAATTGAAAATATTTTTTAAAATTCACGTCATAAAAGCATGAATGCTCATTAGCTGTCAACTTTAGGTTACACAATTGAAATAACAAAGTCTTATAGCAAAATAACAGCTGTTTCGTGATAACAAGAACATGACAGCTGCTTGACAACAACGTTCACCACAGGAATTCGGAGCAAAAAAAGATCAAGCAACCGTGCGATCTTGAAATTCAGCTGACATTAAGATATACAAACAGTTAGATTACCTATAAAGCATTATCATAAACCTAGAAACTTTGTACAACATACCTAAATGGTCGTGTTTGAGCTTGACTCGTTCTCGAATCCAAGATTCATCAATCGTGAGCGCCATTTTTCAAACCATAAAGACTGTGCACCAGTCTCTCCACGACTTCCATCCTCCACTACCCAGAAGGCATTTCGCGCTAGAAAAGCTTGCGTCAAGAAAGTTAAAACGTGCAAATCTTAGCGCGCTTTTAGTATTTTTTTAATGGTAGGCTAGGGATGCGAAGCAAATAAACTGTATTTTATGTTGCAGTGTGACAACATAAAATACAGTTTATTTGCTTCGCATCCCTAGCCTACCATTAAAAAAATACTATTAAGTTTATTGCGCCTTACGTTATGAACATTAGATTGAGTCGTGTGTAGTGCTTTGATCACATATAACTGCTGAATGTCGAGATTTTCCTTTCTTTGGTGGTGAAAATGAGGCTTCATGCTTTGTGAATGCGGTTATGGTTATTTTGTCTAATTTCATACGGTTGGACTTCGTTACTTCTAGATCTTTCCTGTTTATTTTCTGCATATTGTCAAAAGAAATCTTGATACGTTTTGATGCGACGAGTACTTTATTGCTGACTGGAAGAAAAACAACACTAATTGACATGAATTGACATGTTAATGTTAACGATCTTTAGTGAAAATGCAAGACAACTACGTACAATATACGTTAAGACTTTTCTAAAATAAACGGTGATAGTTGATTATCGTCTGTGCKCAAGGCAACMTTTTCTGCACAGTTATCGTCACTTTTTGAATTATTAAAAAACATGAGGATACCGYGGCAGATGAGCTGGTRGATGCAGGCTGGTTGCAGGGCGTTCAYTGTATCTTCCACTAATTTCTCGTAACTTGTGTATTCATTATATTATATTAGTGCAGTTGTGTACCCCCTGCTGGGTAACTTGCAACCCTTCCGGAAGACAATTCTGGATCCGCCCCTGGGATAAAACGTGAGTTGCAGASTTACTCCAACWCCAAACACGTGGGTCATGTCCCTGATGAAAATTTGCAAAAGGTAAAGGAGACATTTTCGAACAAAATTTATGCAACATCAAGCGATCAAGGCTAGAATTGTTTTCAGGAACGGTCCCAACTTCCCTTTATGAAAAATGTTTTTATCATTTTCCTAGAGGTTCCTTTCTATCTGATAATGGCGTTAATTTTCCAATCGACCATTGTTTTGGCCGGAGGGTGTGTCACCTCATTGACAGATGTGCCTTGTCTAGGCCAGGAAAGAAATCCAACGCCTTTAAACCGGCGACGAATAAACGCAAAAAATATGTGAATGTTAGTGTCAGCCATTTCGTCCATAAAACTCTAGCCATGATTCGACTAATGGATCAGAATCAGTTTTTAAACTAACTGTCTTCACTAAAGTCTGATCAACCAGCTGCTCCGCAAAGAATTCTGGGAACAGCCTAGAAGCCATATCTCTAGATGATTCTTCGTTTATCGATTTGTTGGGATGAAACTGTGTAGATTGAGGCGAGATATCCACCAGACCTAAATTTTGTGGTTCTGCATTGATTGCAAATGTTTTAAAACATCTTGTCCGCAGACATGCTTTCTGTTGTTCAAAGTCTTYGATTGTTGATGACTCCTTGCTTGATCTTTCCCTGATTGAGCTACTCCACTTTGCAGAAACTGTATTTGTCGTTTTTTGATAAAAATGTGTTGAATTTCTCCCATATGGAAGTATGTCATTGTCTGTCTCTGGTTCTTCCAGGATAGTACATAACACAGTTGAGTTGTGATGTGTCCATGGACTGTGGCCCGCGCATCGTACGCGCATTGTATTAGTTTCACAAAATCTGTCGTAAGGAATWCATAGCTGCTTGCTATAGTAAAGAACACTGAAGAATCCAAAACAACACTTCCAGATTTTCTTGATTCGAATRTGATATGTTCTCGCATGTGTTTGGTGTGAATTATTCATAGATGAGGGCATTCGTGATTGGCTAAGCTAAAAGCCGTTTGATTAGGGCTTGATTACTTGACTGACAAGATCCGTCAGAAAGAGATGGTAAAAATAGATGAATGTTTTGCATTTCATTCAGATTAAATTGATATATAAGGTTTTCAACAAGTTCTCCTTGCATTAGTGGTCTTGCTTAACACAATATCATCACAGAAAGATTCACGGCAAGCCTTCTTTTTCTGTTGCAAAAACTAGAAAAAAGTGTCGTGTTTTCAAAACTCGTTAGCAAATTACACCCCTTCAATAGGCCGTCTCCCATTGTCTTCAAAGAAATCATCAGAATTCAATGTTTGTCACTTTTAAATGAAAATATTGAAAGAAAGAACTCGTCATGTACGCTACCATGTCAAGAAAAATATCTTGGCCTTGACACTGAACCCTTTCTGAAAGCTGCCGCAATTTCGTTTTTTAATCTTTCAATATTCATTTTTTGACTTCTATCACCTATTTAATAAACCCTTGAATGCAAATTCATTATTGTTGTCTTGGATTCGAGTGCTTTCTTCAAGAGTGCCAATTCATACCAAATACAAGACTTGAGCTAAAAATAGTCGTCGCACAATAATTGGTGGTTTGTGATGACAACCCGTGCAGGTGTTATTTAATGGACGTTATACGTACTGTGGAAATCCGGCGTGTTCMGATAAAACCAATTCCTTGACAAGTTATTAGACCATGGGAATAGCGCCTTTTGATTGCAGAGCTCATATCCGATTGTACGTTTCACTCTTACGATTGAAAATAGGAAGATAAGTAGAAAATAGGAAGGGAAAAAAAGCAATCTGAATAGTTGGGAAAGAAACGGAAAAATAAACTATTAACGAAAAAAAGGATGATCTCTATAACAACGCACTGTCTGATGTTMAAAAGAGATTAAAAACACACCAAGAACATACGACATGAAAAATTAAAACAACACCACGAAATACATGAACCATTTATGATTATAAAAATAAAAATTTATTCAATTTCAACATTAAGTACAAACTCGGGTATCACAGTTTGAAGTAGCGTCCAATTGACTCGAAGCATATTAGCTAGGTGGTAAAACACTTWCAGATTCTTTAATAACCAAAGTTCATTCATTATCGACAGAGTGAATACGACAAATTGATAACATCTCATTTCTTTTTGTCTGGACGTTTTGCGGCGATGTATTYGAAGTTTTGACTACAGTAACTTTTTTTGGATTTTATAAAAGATTGAGATTAAATACAAACATTTGGGTGTACAAAATTGTACTTAAAACAAAATTCCTCTTACTTCATGTTATGTGGGATTACTTTGGATACTAACAAAATTCTAATAATTTCTATATTTCAAATCTTCAAAGCGAATGTTTATGASAAGATGGAATCTGTTTTTTGGAACGTACGAACTTGTATTAAAATTTTACTTATATTATTCCTGCGCTGAATAATATCATGACGTGTTTGCAATTAAAATCTGTGTGAAACGCCGCATGTCACAAGTGCCTTCTTTTGATTCTGCTCTTTATAATTTCATTTACATTGAATTCGACACATGCGAAATTCGACGTTTGAAACACAGATTTCAACGACATTGAGACTAATAGTAGACGTGTAAAAACAGATGCTTRTCTAAGASTAGCCTCAKTCGCTGTTGATTAAAACGGCGCCATTTTTACAAATGGTGGACTGGGAAGTTCCTCAGCTTTACTGTACACGGCGCAGCTTTTAAACGGACAAGGATCTTGATTCCAGGCATAGCGAACTCCCATTAATTGGCTGGTAGCCGATGRACAAAAACCCAACAAACTCACCCTGTCAAACGAGCTTGTTAAAATCTGGGCCTGAGTCCAGGAAGAAGAAGCTTCGCTGGCTTGACAGAAAATCTARARGAAAAATGAGATATTACTGAAAATGTGAAACCATGGTGATTGTTTCCTAGGAAACATCATAATCGATTCCCAAGWGATTGACAGGTGGTGATTTCAAATGGAGGGAAATATCAAACAARCTGGARTTGAATTGAAATTCTGAAGAGATGGGTTKCRGCACCGGGTATTTTAAAAAGAGACGGAGGAGAAGAAAGCAAAGAAGAAAGCAGAACGGAAGGTTTTCACTTGTTGTCTTTCACGCTCATACAAAATTGGTCTCCAACCAATCTGAGAAGCAAAACTTTGACTTTACAAACCTCAAAACCATCTCGTGTTCGAATTTCTAGCCCTTCTGCTCCAACGTCATCATAGACTACATCAATAACCCATGCCTTTGGAAAAGTCTGACCAGAAACCTCTATTTTAACAGCTATTGGWCCTGTATAGTAAATGTTAGGCTCAGAATATGCAACTGCACGACYAGCCAAAGCAAGACGGTAACCAACATCCTGTTTATCATTGGGATGTATACTGCCCCAAGGCGATGATGCATTGCCTAGGTCCATTGAAACAGCCATGAACACATTTTCCATACGTGCATTGGGGACATAGCCATAGTTGGCGGTCTGAGCCCAACGTATAGCAGGAAAACCAGCTGCGACAGTGGAGTTATTGTCAAAACTTGATAGCTATGAAATATAGAAAAATTATCATTAATATGCATGGTGGATGAAGGAGGTGTGTGCTATGAGACCTKGCCTCATTGAATAGTTTCCTTGCAATCATCTGTGAGGATAATATGAAGTACAAACCCCACATCAAACATCCTACATGAATGTAGGTCCAAACCAGTCCTACCCTTACACA